TGGCCTCGGGGAGCATGGAGCCGAGGAGCACGACGCAGGCAAGCTGTCCGCGCAGGTGTGGTCTCGGGAGCATGGAGCCGAGGAGCACAACGCAGGCGGTCTGGCCACGTAGGTGTGGCCTCGGGGAGCATGGAGCCGAGGAGCACGACGCAGGCGGGCTGACCGCACAGGTGTGGTCTCGGAGAACATGCGTCTGAAGAGCATGACGCAGGCGGGCAGCACGCGCAGGTGTGGTCCGGGCAACACGCGCCAGAGGAGCACGACGCAGGCGGACAGCACGCGCAGGTGTGGTCTGGGCAACACGTGCCCGAGGGTCACAACGCAGGCGGGCAGTGCGCACGAGTGTGGTCCGAGTGACACGCGTCCGAGGGATGTGGCTTAGGCGGGCAGCAACCAAGGTGTACTCGGGCAGTCGGCAGTCAAGGTGTACTCGGGCGGTCGGCAGTCGAGGTGTACTCGGGCAGTCGACAGTTGAGGTGCTGTGGCCGAGGTGTACACGACGCAGGCTGGCTGCGGCCGAGGTGTGTAGATACAAAAGGGTTTAAGCCGAGGCTAACCGCGAGCCGAGAGGCGGTCAGGTAAATACTGAACCTTCGCTCGGAAGAGACTGAGGCAGGGCCTAGATTTCTTTTCATGAGGACTACATCGGATGGCCACCGCGGGTGCTTGACCTCTCCTATGGAGCTCGTTATCGAAAGTCATCCCTTCTCTTCACGGCCACCCGGGCTTCGGCCGCGATGTACTGGTTAGCCCGCTGAAGCATATCTGGTATTGTGGTGGGGGGTCGCTCCACGAGGGACTAGCAGAATTTGGAAGGTCGTAGGCCCATTATAAACGCCTGCACTAACAGAGAGGGATGAGCGCCCGACAAGCCCCGGATTTGTGCTGTAAAGCGATTCACAAAATGGGAGAGGGGCTTGTCCTCCCTTTGGTTGAGTCCGAGGAGCAGTGCAACGGTCGGCTTTGGCCGGGCGTAGGCCAAGAAGTTGAGTTCGAAGTCCTTGACAAGCTGGTCAAAGGAGGCAATCGTCCTGATTTTCAAGCTGTTATACCATGTGCGGGCCGGCCCCCTCAGGGTGGTGGGGAACGCCCTGCACATCAAAGCGTCAGAAGTTCCATACAGTGTCATGTGGGCACGGAAAGCGGCTACATGGTCCGCTGGGTCGGTGGAGCCGTCGTAAGCGTCCACGGAGGGGAGTCGGAAGTTCGGGGGGACTATTTGATCCTGTATCTCGGGTGTGAACGAAGACCCTTGGTGTGCGTCCCCCCCGAGCCCTCCCTTTGACCTATGAACCTCATTCTCTATTTCGTCGAGCCGCTGACTAACAAAGCGTAGCTGGGCTCGTAGGGAGTCTGTGGAGTCTGAGGATAATGCCTCGGGTTCCGAGCGGCCGCTCGGGTTTTCGATCGCTCGATCCCCGAGTGGGGTCGATCGGACCCGAGGCGAAGTAGGGAACTCCGGAAGTGGCGTGTGGGCCCGAACTGGTGGCTCCTGTTGCCGTAGTGGTTGAATCGCAGGTGGGTGCGCCGGATGAGAAACGAGTGGGATTATGGTTTGCACCATACCCGTCAGAGCCCGGACTTGATGGGCGAGGTCCAGAAAGGCTTCGGACGACACGGCCGACGAGTCGGCTGGGGCACCTTCGGGCGGTGACCAGCCCGGGTCGTTGAATACCCGCCAATGGCGCTCTGAGGTTGTGGCGGGGTGTTCGTCACGAAGATCTCCATGCGGGGGATGTTCCCCCGAAGCTCCAATCGGGTGCAACCTCACAGCCATAGGCTCGTCTGAGCCAGTCGGGTGATCCCTCGACATTCGGCCCTTCCTCTAGTGCCAATATGTTAGTGTAAACAACTTTATGCCATGGCCTCGAGGCCGACACGACTTGTTTCGGGTCTGAATGGTTGGGATCCTGTTGAAGGTCTCTCGGGTTGCTGACAGGGGTGGCAAAGCGAATCGGGTAGCGTCGGGGCTCGTCGGGACGTCCCGCGGGGAAGGGTCCCTTTCCACGACGTTGGCGAGGAAGTAGCTCGGTCTTCGTACCTGCACACAGGTCGGGTCGGAACTCGGCCCGACCCCTCCGATGATCAAGTCAGTGGATGGTGAAGGGGGTTTCTTTAGCTAAGT